TGGAGAAATACCAGATAGCCTTCTTAACAGAGGAAATGCCTGTTGTTTTATTGTTTATGTTCTTCTTTTTACAAATTCTTAACAGGTAATGGTTAGCATGAAGTAATCATTGCCTTATAAAAAGGTTATATTTTGTTTAAAAATCTTTTGCAATGTTCATTACAGGAAAAAAGGGCTTGGGATTTTTAAAAAGGAATCAGTTATAGAGTCAGAGGACTGATCAAGGTTCTAACAACTGCGGAGGCCTGTCCTGCAGGAACACAGCCTGGCCCCTGGTAATAAGCCACTGATAAGCAAGGGATTAAATTAGTTCGTGGTGACTAACTCCAGAAGCAAAGTGGCCTAAGTTACTTCTTCCTGATAGAGTAGGGTATTGGGGAGAAATCAGTTTGCAGATTTAGGAAGGCTGCCTACATTATGCCTCCATATTGAAAAAGATCAAGGGTTGGTGTCAAACCTGCACAGATCTTGTCCACGCCAGGAAAGCTAGACACTCTCTGGACAAAGCTACGGGTCTCCTTCCCCAAAGCACACCAGGCACACCTCTCCACGGTGTTGCAGTGGTTTCAGGATTCCTCTTCCACTCACTCTTAGGTCCCCAACCCAGGTTAAGAGCCATCACCCTCTCCCTTATTGGCCCCCTAAGAAAAAAGCTAAGTGCTAAGTTAAAGGGGCAGTTATGACTTTTCTATTTAATGACTACAGCTGACTTGGGAAAAAATGCTGTGGCTTAGAGTGAAGAATAATTATTGGTACAGCAGTCTTGGTGGGAGAAACTGAAAACCAAGGTTTACTGAGGTAACAGAACAGTGGAGTCGGGAAGCCCTGGCTGGGTTGCAGGCTGTCAGTGTGCGGTTGCCAGGGCTTCGAATCGTGGCTGTGCCTCTTTCAGCCTCAGTTTCCCTGTCTGCACCCGTGGAGGTAACAACACCCACCTCACAGCTGCCTCTTCAGCAGTGAATGGGATGATATCCTCAGTCTCAATGTGCTACGTAAACAGTCATATGAATAGAAGGTGATATTAATATAGAAAATAAACTTAGTGGCTGAAATACCTAACATAGTTTTTAGAACTTTGTTCTGCATTTTGAAGATTTTAATATATTCTAATAAAAAGTATATTTCATGAAAAAACACAATGGGACCTGTTCAATCCCATGCTTGAGTTTTTATATCTCACAAAAAGTCTAAATCTAGAAGTTGCAAACCAGCCCACAAATGTGTTATCTTGCTTGCAGAGTGTTAACCGAGCTTTGTTTGGTCTTTCTTTTTAATCAATTGCCAACATTTCAAACGAGAAGGTTTCCTATAGAAAACGAAATTTCCTATAGAAAATGAAAACAAAAACCTCGATTTCAGCTTCTCTTGGGGAAATGGAAGCTGAATTTCTGGCACAGCTGGCTGGGATTTCCCAAGGCCCACTGCTCCCTACCCTGTGTTGTTACCTCAGGCCAGCCACACCCAAGGCACCCCCATTTCCCTGGTGTCACTTTCCCAGCAAGAGGCCTAGAGTTTCAAAAAACAACTTCCTCGCAAAATCAAACTCGCAAGGAGACAGCAAGTGCTTGAAGGATGCTCACACAGAGGATGTCTCATCTCTTACCCTCAGCTGGGTCTACAGGGACCAGGCGTGGGTGAGTGTGGTTGGTGTGGACAGCATTTCTGTCTTGTAAAATGAGCACAGGATCCCTGTGAGGATTTAATTAGACGACATACATAAGCACCTTGCAAGAATCAACACTTGGCAAACGGTAGCTCTGAGCAGGCCACTCAGGGCATCACAAAGATTCTGACAAGTAATCCGCAGTTCAGACTCCAGAGATGATGGCCCCAGTCAGGCATGAGGTCCCTATAGCAACCAAGAACCTCTGAGGATCAGGCTGAGGAAGAAGATGCTCCCTGAGTCCTGAGACCACAGTTTCTGAGAACCAGGATTCAGGCTCCTGGACTTGCACAAGAAGATCTGGAACCCAAGGTGGACACAGACCCTTGGTGTAACACAGATGCCCTTGGCCTTCAGTGTCACCAGGAGTGTTAGAAAGCTTGGGAAATGGGAAGAGCCCCACACAGCAGATTTGACGTGTACCTGCTTCTGCTCCAAAGAAACTTTAACCAGTGTCAGCCTGCTGTGTGTGCCCCGAGCGCTCACTTCCAGTGTAACACACAACTAACTCCTGCAGAGAGCCAGTGGCCGGGAGCCTGAAAACCCACGGGACAGCCTGGGCTTCTTCTGGGTGGGAGGGAGGCGGCTACCCTGACCCTGACTGGCGTTATCTTGGAAGGTACGGCCAGTCCCTAGAAGCCATATCCAGGAATGAGCTCACCACTTTCTTCTCCCTGCCATGGATTCCACCCAAGCCTGTTTTATAGGAAGTTGACTTTCATCTGAGCAGAAGGGGACCATCCCTGGGTTGAGCAAAAGATGAGTAAATGATTAGTGGCTGCCATTAAAGGATCTTGCAAAGCATTTATGTTGTCTCACAAAAAGGATCTGGTTTTTGCATATCTGTCTTTTTAGTTCATTTGTGGCAGGCAGAAGGCTGCCAAAGTCATTTAATGATGCCAAGGATAAGGCTCACTTTAGGAAATGGGGTAGCCAAGGATTTGGGGTTTCCCCACACTGTTTCCTCCTTCATCTCATGACCTGAGAGAGGCAACTCTGAGTCACACACACCGAGTGGCCTCGTATTAAGGAAATAATCCATTTGCTACAATAAACTGGGGAGGTCCCTTAGAAAGAAAACCAGGGCTTTTTTCTGGGTGGGTCCTGCCCTGGAGTGGGGCAAATGATACAACAATGAGCCCAATGTTGGGGATGCTGAAGTAAAAAGGGGTGCATTTTTGACAGGAAAACACAAGGTCATTTCAGTTCATCCTGTAATCAGGGCAGAGCTTCTGAACCAGGGTGGGAGGGTTCCCGGGAAGCCTGGATTCAGGGAAGTCTGGGCTGGAGCGCTTCTCAGTAGCCACAGGCACACAGGATCCCTGGGGAGACACAATGCCCCCACCCGAGGGAAGCTGTCCGCTCTGCTGAAAGCCTGAATTTCCTAAAATGGCTCCAGGGTCCAAGGAACCCCTGGACAGACACTGTCTCCAGACACACTTTTGCTGCTGACTGTTAATAATTTCAGCTGTTCCCCACATCTGCTTCTAGGAGATCTCACGGCTCTGTTCCCTCAACTGGTAGAGATGAGGACCCCCACCTCGATAAATTGTGAGCTTGCTGGCTCCTTATTGACCTTTAGGCCTGCATTCTCTCTCTCTCTCTCTTCTCTCTCTCTCTCTCTCTCTCTCTCTCTCTCTCTCTCTCTCTCACACACACACACACACACACACACCACTGAGATTATCCCCTTGATCTCTGGGCCATCAATTCTGGGCAAAACCATTTGAACGATGGTTACTCCCCCAGATCTGAAGAACTGCACCCCCTAGTCAATGCATCCAATAAAACATCCTGCCATTTAGTACAGGCTTGTTCTCTGCCTGAAATGTGCAGAAACATAATGGTCTCAAGTGTGAAATGGTAATGACCAGAGCTTGTCTGCGGACTGGACATAACTGAACCTGAATGTTTCTTGAGGTTTCTTCCATTCTTAGAATCTCCCGATTCTGAGATCCTTCCAAATATTCCAAGTGACTTTTTCTAAAAACACGTTGGGCCTCACAAAAGATTACTGACTGAACCAAACAGAGAATCCTATTTAGTTCTGGCCGCAGAAGGAACTGTATGATTTACATTTTAGACAAAAACTCTTTCCCCTGTAAATACTGCGTAAAAATGGCAAGATTCTTGACTGAACATTAATGTTACCACAGCAAGCCAAGGGGAACCTATGGAAATCTGAAACAGAAATATGTGGCCTGTTAGTCCAAAAAGGTAAATGCAACAAAGAAACAAGTTGGCCTCACCTTCCATCCTGAAGCACCACGGAGCCCATGCTGGCCACCAGCACAGCCCTCTGGTCCTCTCCCACCAGGCAGGGCCCTGTCTTTGCTCAGATCTTCCGAAGGCTTCGGAGCTTACCATCCCACTTGGCACGGGCAGAGGTTTTCCTGTTGGTAAGATCCCCACAGTATCAACTCCCTTTTCAGAGGACACTTTGAAGCCCACATGTCTTCCCCACCAGCAGGAATTCATCAGCCCCGCATGTGCTGGGCCAACTCTCACCACCTCATCCTAACATCATGGAGGCATCTGTCTCCACTGCTGGAATTAAGCTTTTGGAAGGCAGAGACTCTCCTCTATCTGCGGGCCCTGACCCAAGTAGGCACATTTGATACATTTTATGAAGTCTGCGTGAATTGAAGAAGGATAGCAATTCCTCCGCTCCAGATGTGTGCTGATACTTCAGACTACTTGGAATGTCTTACGAGAGTGGGGGTGACTTGCATCATCAGGATTTCTCAGCTTCGCTACTAGTGACATTTGGGCCGGATCATTCTTTGTGGTGGGCGCTGCCCTGTGTATTGTAGGATGTTTAGCAGCGTCCCTGGCCTCTACCCACTGGATGCCAGTAGCACTCCCCTCCTCCCAAGTAGTGACAACCAAAAACATCTGCAGACATTGCCAATGTCCCCTGGAGGCAGAAAGGGCCCTGGCTTAGAACCACTGATGTAGGTGATTCCCGAAGGAGGCTTGAGAGGACGTATCAGATACCTTGCCCAACAAGGATCCTACACAGACTTGCTCCTTACTCCTATAATCATCATTGTTATAATACATCAGAAGAAGGCCGCTATTTATACCTTCTGGCCAAGTATTTCACCCTGACAGACTGTCACAGCACTAGCCAAACACTGGAATTTTCTTTTCTTTTTTTTTGGAATTTTCTTAAATGGGGTGGGGAAAGAGAGAACCGGGTGAGGGCTCATCCCCTGTGAAATATGAATATCCTTTTTGGAGACGTTGTTGTCTTGGAGACAGCACAAGAGCTACTAGGAGGTGCCTAGGGTCATGCCAGGGAGACTGAAATGGCAAAAAATAACAACAAAAGCTGTAATGAGGGCCATGGTTTTTTTTTTTCTTACCAGGTTGTGAGGAATCAACACTGCTTAATCAATTGACACATACAACTCAAGGAAGGTGCACACCTATCTTGACATAGGCCCCAGCGCTGTGGGTATAGATAGATGGTTTAAATATTTTTGGTGCAAGGAGATAACCCCCACATGTCATCCACTGGCCTCCGGGGGCTGAGGCCATCCATCAGCCAAGCAGTGACCACAGGCAAGTGCAGTTGTGATGAAGTGCATTTGCCCAAACATGGAAAATGCTACTGGAACAAACCACCACCTTTGCTTTTCTTCGAAGCTCTGACACTCTGTCATGTCAGGGAGCCGAGTCCGAGTGATGCCCCAGCAGCCAGGATGGACGCACAGTCCGGGACCCGGGAGAGCTGTGGGACTGTCTTCCTCCTCGCCGAGGTGGTGGCGATTGGTTTGAGAGGCAGAGACTGAGGCATTGCGCATTCCTGGCCGCACGGGGATTTGCATTTCACCGCGCAGGGACTGACGGTGGAAACTGGAGCTGTTACGTAAGGCGCTGGCTCGTTGCCCTTCCACACAGGCCTCCTGCCTCATCACAGCGTTCGCCTGCCTGGGGTGGGGGTGGGCTGAGGCCTGTGGACTTGTGGGGTTGGGTGGGGAAAGGCCTGAGGTTTGGTGCAGCACATCTCAATACAGCTGCTGAACGGAGGTCTGCCTGCAGGAGTGATAACACCTGGCCTCTCTCATCTTTGATTTCTGTTGGCTGCATTCAAATTTGGGGAGCCAGCTGGAGGCCACAAATGAGAAAAATCAAAGATCCCTGGCAACAGCAGGTTCTGGTACTCCTCTCTGGCACCAGGAGAGAAGCTCTCTGACGTCCTGGCGAGAGACGCAGTTGGGCTTGGCCACGCACTGTTGCACCAGGAACCAAACATGGTAACAAGGACAAGAATGACGAGAGTTACAGTTTCTGCTCTGACGCACAGGTGCTGACAGAAGACTCTGCATGTCTAAGGACAGATCTGCAAAATAAGTATCGAAGGGAACGTGGATCCTGGGTGAGGAGATGCAGCAATTTGCCAGTCAGAGCAGCCTGGAGGCATCTCTCTCCAACCTCAGTTTCCCCATGGATAAGGTGGGAGCAATGTCTGTGGCAAGTGCCTTGCAGCCCAGTTGGAAGAGCCAGCTTAAACAGTGGCTCTTAGCTTGCAGCCAATGGCTGGACAGTTTCAGGGGGGCCACTGAGCCCTGAAATCAACACTAGCATTTAGTCTGGGTGTTTATGTGCATCTTCCTTGGGAGAGGGTGGTCTCTTTCCCTATTTTCTCAAAGAACATACATTAGTTATTCTCAAAAGAATAAGAATCATTGGGTTAGATAATGTGTGAAAGTTAGATCATGTGTGAAAGCATCCCCACATTAACCTGTTATCAGCAAAGACTTTTGAGGAGAAAGGGGCCCGGAACAGCACTTCCTACGTGCGCGGGCTACGCAAGAGCAGGAAAACACGGTTCCTGGCCTCCTGGAGCATGTGACAGACTTTGAGCATGAGATCAACACAGAACAAAAACTGGAAAGAAAACAAAAACGTGCTTAGAAGTCAGAGGAATGTATGCACCCCTTAAATTCTGAAACATGGGTGGGAGAATGGACTACTTGCGGTGGGGTTAGAGGAGGCAAGTGGCCCGGGAGAGTGCAGATGAGGCTGGACACCCCTGGATGCGGGGACCCTCCGACCCGGGCTGAGGGTCACACAGGAAGAGGAGGCTGCGAGCGTGAGCCAGTTTCGGGGTGACAGTCGGTCCTAGGTGGCCCTACAGACACCTGGCCCACTCTCGGTCCCCCAGCCCCGCCCCCCCCACAGGGCTCAGGGGCCCCCCTAGAGCAGCCCGGGGGGAGAGCAGAGCTGTCAGGACAGTCTCTTCCTTGGGAATGCAGCTGGGTGACTCACGCGTTCCAGGCAGGGAGCGCTGCACGTCTAGACTTCATTCTTGCTGTGATGAGTCCAGGCTGCCTCCGCACAGCTAGCGAAGTCCCTCTGGTCGGGCCTCATGGGACCACACCCAGCAGTTAGAAGACAAAGCACTGGGAAGTGGGAGGAAAACACTGGAAACTATTTGCTATTTCAGAAAAAGAATATTGAAGTGTTCATCATGGGAAAAATCAGAACGTTAATGTCTTTCCACACTGTATGGCCAGGCAGTTTCTAAAGCCTGCGCGTGGTGGCGCTGCTGGAACCCTCCCTGTGCAGAGGGCTCCTCCGTCCCGCATGGACCCCGGCCCCACTGCCGGGCAAGTCCACCCTCTCCAGCTCAGCAAGGGGCCTGGAGCAAATGGCCATCTCCCCACTCCCCTCCACGGCCCTGGAAGGGCTTTTCCAGGGAAGTCTTGGGATCTTGCCACAGCCCTGCAGATGTAAAGATCCTGTGGTTTTTTCTAGAATGTGCTATCAAAGGCGGAAGCTGATTCTGGTGACCAGTTCAGGACCCTTCTCCCCAACTAGTGCCCCAGTTCCCAAGGAAGCAGTTAATTACCTACAGTCCTGATCAGCAGAGGGAATATCTTAATCAGCTGGATCAGCAGCACCCCAAGGTGATTCCCCTAATGAGAGGAGTGATGGGACTCTGAGACCTGGCCTGCTGTCCTCTTTCCAGAAAGAGTGGAGTCTGCCATTCGCTGACCACCCTCCTGACCCCATTGTACCTCTTTATGACATACCCCCATCCTAGGAACGTCTCCTTGACACCGTGAATTTTCATGTCCCCCAAATACAGTGAGGCTTTGTCACCTTGCTTCTGTCCTTGAGATTGACCTACCCCCTTTTCATTCTGTCACTGCTTGGCTGAATGATGGGGTATCTGAGGTGGGAACCTGGTCTCTACTTCCTGTTCCCAAGGACCAGATGCACCTTCAGGGCTGATGACCTTGTTCGTCCCCTGGGATAAGGAGTAACTCCCATCAGCAAGCAGGGAAAGACAAGGCTGGGAGGTACTGCCCTAAGGGGAAGAGCCAGCCTCCTAAAGTTACCCCGTGTCCTGATCCCTGTTCAGTATACCCCCAACAAAGCCAGGTGAAGACATCTTCCGGCTCCTCTCTTCTGCATCAGCTCACCAGGCGGAGGAGGGGATTCCAGCCAGGCAGAAGGCAGCGTGTGGGGCCTGGCTTTGGCCCTCTGTCAAAACTCCTTCCAGTCCACTTGTTCCCTGGTTGCTTTTAATCAGTCAAAGGCCAGCATTCCAGATGAGATAGAAGGGGAGATGGGAAGAGGCTAAAACTCAGTTCAAGTTAAAGCAGGATTATTCATTTCAATTGGTTGTTCATACAGATTTTCAGAATGGTGCTTCATACATTATGGCTCATATTTAGAATTTCTAATTCCTTTCTCCCCACAGCCTGACAGTCTCTGGGTCTCTTTTCATTTCCACAGAATCCTACTTTGGTGGGGTGTGGCAGGGTAGGGAGGTGGGGGCTCAGTGTGGTAAGTGACTCTGGGCTCAGAGATTAACCATGGTTAAGCATTAGTCTATTTCCTTTGCTAGGGAACGTGGAACGGCAGATTGTTTTTTGGTTTGGGCTGGCTCTGCCCTGATTCACCTCTGGGAATTACTTCTTCCACATATGGGAAGCTGTTAGTTGAAGTGCCTGCCTGTCCGTGGCCAAGGTCAGGCTCTCGAATCTCTTGAGGTCAGTCAGATCTGCCTTCCCTGGAATCTGAAATTGGAGCAAAGTCATTGCAAGACAGAAACCAGCTGGAGCTCATTCCTTTTCACAGCAGTGTACCCAGGGGACCCTGGTGAGGGGTCCTGTGTCTTAGACCCTCCATTTGATGCTACTTGCTGCCTGTGAAGTTCCTCAGTTCCTGTCCATTTTGTCCTGGTTTCTGAGCCTGGTTTGCTAGCCATTGAGACATCAGCTGTTTTTTCCAGTAAATTCCCTTTTGGTTTAGATTAGCCAGGATTGGTTTCTGTTGCTTACCACCCAAGGAACCTCAGCTCATACCCGCAATGAGCCTGGGTTTCTAAGTCCCTTAAGTCATTCTTGGTCTCAGAATGTTGCCCCAAAGCTTTGCTAGAAGCCAATGAAGTCTTTTCATTGACACAGACTCTTTAGTAGTCATTTCCTAGAATCCAGCTCTTAGTTGCTAAGGACATGCTGGTTATTTGTAGACTGTGGTTTATAACCTGCCTCTTGGTTTCTTTCAGTATTCTTTTGTTCAAGTCAGACGGCGGCAAATCTCTCTGCCCCGTACCTTGGGAACAGACTTGATTCCCACGTGTTCTGCTGTCTGATGCTCCTCAAACACACGCTAGGGATATGCAGATTGGAAAGCATTTTTGCAAACCAAATTGCAAAGCCATAACCAAGAGGTTTTTAACTATTCTTTCTTTCTGAACTAGTAATTCAACTAATTGAGGACTTGATTTTTAAAAAATTGTCAGAGAAGCAGAAAGATGAGTAAGCATATTTATTATATTATTATTTTATAGTAATGAAAAACTCAGAAACAACTTAAATATCCAGGGAAATAAACAATGGCCTAGTCATAGGATGATATGTGATATACCCATTCAAAAATCACAGTTTTGTAGAATATTTAATACTGCGAGGAAAATTCTCATACTGTCTTGTGTACCAGGGGTAAGCAAACTAGGACACAAAACTATGTACAGAGTAATCTCAATTTGTTTTATTCAAATTGGGAAGGACTGCACCAACATATGAGCAGTGGTTATCTCTTTATGGTTTAGTTGGAAATCCTCCGAGGGTAGGAACTATGTCTCACTTAAAGTGATAGCTCTAATTCCTAGCTCAGGTCCAGCCATATAGCTTGCCTGGTGAAGCAGTGAGGGAGTTTCTTTATATTTTTCCATGGTTTTCTTTCCTTTTAAGTAATGAATGTACATTTTATGTAAAATCAGAAAAAAATATTTTAGCCAATAAAACTTAAGTGCATAGGGTTTATTGAAATCCTATTCATGCTTCAAGGTCCTTGTGTCAGTTTTAAAACATGGTGACAAATATTTGATTGCTCCTTCTGTAGAGAGGTGGGGTCTGTGTCCCCTCCCTTTACACGGGACTGCTTGGGCAAATGAGCATAGTGGAAATAAGGCTCTGTGACTTCTGAGGCTAAGTCATAAAAAACCTTGCAGTTTCCCCCTTGTTCACTGAGCGTCCTTGATATTGATGCTCTGAAATGCAGTGTAAGAGCTTGACCATTCCAAGGCTGCCATGCTGGACAGGCCATCTGGGGGCACTCTGGTTGGCATTTCAGCTGAGCCTGTCCTTCATCCTACGCACCAAGCACATGAGTGAAGACTTGGAAGTGAATGCTTCCAGCCCCCTGGTATCTGAGTCACTTCTAGGCAACTGGGGTCCAGTCACTATGGAGCAGAGACAGGCTGTCCACATAGTGTCTCATCCAAATTCCTGACCCACAGACTCCCTGAGCATGATAAAATGGTGATTGTTTTATGCCACTAAGTTTGGAGTCATTAGGCAGCAGTAAATACCAAAACGGCTCTCCTCAAACTTATCCCTTTGTGAAGCCTTCCCCTATCCTTCCCGTCCTTCCCATAATCCCAAATCCTATATTAAAATTAGTCATTCTTGTTTCCCAAAGCCCTTCTCTATACCTGTATCAGAGTACTGACTCATCGAGGCTTTTTTCAGATGATGAGTTCCTTAAGGGAAGCAACTCTGTGAGTCACTTTTGCATCCTCAGGGCACAGTGTCTAGCACACTGAATCTAATTAATGGTCCTTCTATTCCTTTTTCTGTTAGTATAATGCACAAGAGAGATGGGAATTGACAGAGAAGACAAATTTGGTGCCTACGTCAGGTTTTCACGGAGTTCTGGCTACCTCCACGCTTCTGGGCTGCAACTCAATATTGCAGCAGGATGGCGTTATGCCTGGAAACCATCCCAGTTCTTAGTTTGCTCGGGCTGCCATAACAACTGGTTGGCTTAAACCACAGAAACTTATTTTCTCACAGTTCTGGAGGTTGAAAGTCCAAGATCAAGGTGTTGGTAGGTTGGGTTTCTCCCAAGGCCCCCCCCCCCGGCTTGCAGATGGCAAATCCCCCTGTGTCCTCACATGGTCTTTCCTCTGTGCACGCACATCCCTGGTGTCTCTCCCTCTTCTTATAAGAATACAGTCCTATTGAATTAGGGTCCTAACCTTATGACCTCATTTAACTTTACATATTTAAAGGCTCTATCTCCATATCCTGTCATAGTAGGAACTGGAGCTTCAACATGTAAATTTAGGGGTGGAGGGAACACCATTCAGTCCGTAACACAGTGGAGTCTTAGTTATTGCTCACACTCCCTGTAGTTGTAGATGTCAGTGAAAGGAAGGACTGAACTCAGGGATCCACATTCTATCCACACTTTGCTGGCTGTAAGCTCCAGGCTTATGCTCTTCTTGCTCTCATATCCTTTTAAATGATGGGATGCTTAGGTGGTAGATGCCTGTGACAGCTCGCCTTTCTCCACAGCCAATGTGACTTCATGTAGCTTTTATTTGCTTGGTTTTTGTTTGGTGCCCAAGGAAACCTCAAACAAATCTTCAGTATCAGCCACAAGACAGTGCTGACTGCAAAGGGATGCACGGCATGTTGCTGCGGACAAGTGGCCGTTCTCCCGCCGCAACCTGGTCACTTTAGAGTAGCTGAATAAAGAGCATCCAAAAAGGGGCCTTGGGAAGGAAGCTGCCACGTGAAATCGGAGGATGATCTTAAGGACGTGCAAGAATGCCAGCAGCTAGGGCGACTAGCAACTACTCTTTAGAATTTTTCTTCTCAGATTAATTCCTAGCAACGTCCTTTTTCGTTCATCTTTGTTTTTATTGCTTTATTTCATATTCTGAAGTGAGAGAGAGAGAGAAACACAATATTCTACTGAGATGAATTGGATTTGGGGCTATTTTATGCCCATATCTGTGAGCTACAGGTGCTGAATAGGGAACAGAGCAAATGTTCAAGGTTATGCACTTGCCTTTTGCAATTCAAATTAAGTGCACCTATCTTGCAATTTTTGTCCCTTGTTTTCAGCTGGTCTCTGTCATACTACCTCACTGTCAAACCAACCCTCTCTCCACCCCTTCCACCACCTTACTTTCACCACTTAAGGAATGAGAAAACATTCTGATTCACACTCTCACTAACCTATGCTCTACAAGAATCAATCAGCTTTCATTTTCACATAATGTAGCATGTTTACACAATTACCAACTACCCTGCCTGCATGGAGTGTTCTAATATTACAAAGTTCTTTATGTGAAAATCAGTTCACGTTTTTATCTGCCAGTTGAAACTGATAAGAATTTTGTACCAATCTGTAAGAAGGCTTTATCCCTGCTCAACACTATAAAGCCCTCAAGATTTTATCCTTCTTGAATTATCTAAAGGTAGCGAGAGATTCAATTTGCTAAGAGTCCTTGTTTTTGACACAAAGACAAATATCTGCTCCTGAGCTATACTTCACAAAGCAATGATTCATTTTAAAAACCTCTCAGGACCATGCATCCTCCAGATAGAGAAAATGAACCCAAGTCTTGCTTTCTTCATTAATTTTAGGATGTTCTCTCTCTGCTGCTTCACTTCAGAAAAGAGGTATAATTACTATCTTTATGAGTCAGACTCACAGCGCAGCACCTGTTAGAAAATTAAAAAATATTTTCCCCACATCACATTACAAAGTGAGGCCCATTGTTCGCGTGCAGTTTCTGGTGTTCACTGACTTGCCAAAATGACTATATTGGAGGCTTTAAAAGCCACAGTGATAAAGAAAAAGAATGACTGGAGACTTTTCCAACTGCCAATCTATAAAGATAGTAACATGAACTTGATAAACTCTGATTTTCATTCTTTTTAAATTATTTGGAGATTAATAAAGGAGAGTCTGTTTCTCCCAGGCATGAGAAAGCAGCAGATGCAAGGTGTTAGGTATGGAATTCAGTCAATGCTAATTACAGAAGGAGATTCGATATATGTGAATATATTATTGACATAGAGATTAGGGAATAATTGTAAGTAAAGCTGATGTCATGACACAAGAACTATCCAGTTTTTACTTGAAGTACTTACTATTTATAACTTAGATGACTGATTTCTTGAGTATGTGTAAGCATATTTGACTGTCCTTTATGACTGGATTACTGCATTCTGTTCATTTTTATT